ATTCATTAATGGGAAACACTGACTGATTCATCCACATCAAGGGATCTCTAAATTAAAGCCTATGAACAGCAGAGTCATGTTTCTGAACATTCTTTAGTACCAACATGGCACCTGATTGGATCAATTCCAAGTTCTATAAAATTCAGTCATCTTTTCTTCATAGAGCTTTTTAGCAGAGTGAAGCATGAACTTTTTCTGGAGTTTTCTGGTAGATTCATCCATTTACTAAAAAAAACACCAAATTCTGACTTGGTGTAGAAACTATAGAAACTTTGGTTTCATCAGTAAAAGCTTTGGACCACTGAGATAAGATCCAACTTTTTTTTTATCCTCAGCCCAGTTAAAGGTACTGTTGAGGATTTTTGCAAAAAAATTTTTTAAAGATCTGCCCTGTTCGCTTTAAAAAAAATTCACATGCACAACCCTGTACGCGCTCCCGAGAGAGAACGCCTATTAAATGAATGCACGAGCCAATTTGTCCTGGTCGACATTCTGTTAAAAAGTTGCTGTTTTCATAGATCATACAAACATCCACCCTAACTCATAAATTCCTCAATCACTATATAGAGTGGGGACTATATAGTGAACTTTATAATGAACTCTGCTAACTTACCAGTGCAGCTTGACATGGATATTTTTCATTTATGCCCAATTTTGAAACGTTGTCTGTGCTATCTTATTCCACGCCACAACATAAGAGGGACAATCAGGAACTAGCTGTGGATCTAGATACGGCCGAGGAGGTGAGGAAGTGGAAAAACGCAAGGGTTAAATTTATGCGACAACGGAGGGACATGAGGGCGAAAAAGAGCGAGGATCCAGGTGGAAAAAGGGTCCCAGCGTTCTCGCTCACCTCGCTCTTCTAGCTGCTCCATCTTCACCAGTCGTTTTCCACAATGGAGGTCATACAAACAGAACAAGCCGGTTAGAAACCAAACAGGAAATACGCATAGTGTAGAGCGGATGTAGATTTGACCAATCAGAGGCCTCCTGTCTGCGATCAGCTACAATTTAGGAGAGGTGCACCAGAGTGTCTGCGGAAGGTGGGGGGGGGAATATTTGCGTTAACTGCGACACACATGCAGGCGACCTGGTCTTTTAGCATAAATCAGCCTTAACCTCTCCTCCGCCGTGCCATCTTTGTTATTAGGGCCGCTGTGACAGCAAATCCCAGAATGCTTAGCGAGGAGAGCTCTATACGCAAAGCATTCTGGGATATATCTGTCTCTTCTGTGACCTTTCTTCTCACTCACTTCGTAGACACTTTTTCTCTTACGATCCTCGGCCATCTTCAAAGAACCGCGATTAGAAAGGTGAGCTTCAATGACCGTCTGAAACCGTAGCTCACCACAGATACACGCCTGAAAGTGCGCTGAAAAAGATGGCTAACGGGACGACCATGTAGGACGGCCTTACGTAAACAAATCACGAGAATGATTGACAATTAGGAGGACCACTTATTTAGATGATCCACCCGGAAATAAAACATCATCCTCTATACATTTAAGACTTTTCTGTCTTTCTTTACTTGTTCCTCTGAAGACTGCAGTTCTCCCTGCTGCTAGTGCTCACTTCCTACCACACTTTTTCCTTCCACTCAACTTTCTATTAACAAGCTTGGATTCAGCTCTCAGAACAAACAGCTTCTAAGCATTGACTTCTGTCCATCATCAGTTTCTAATATTGAACTCAGCATATTCAGATATGCTGGAGATTTAATTTTACTGGATGAGATTCCATAAAAAAAAAAAAAATCAGCTTTTTTTTTCTTTTCTTTTTTTCTCAGCGAAGGAGACGGAGACTCACAAGCTGTGGAAAAACATTGAGCCTCATCTGAAAAAGGCGATGCAGACGGTTTACCTCCGAGAGGTTTCCAGGTCTGATCAGTCATCTCATCCTTTCCTTTGAGCTTCCTTCCATCGTCTTTAATATCTCATCTCGGTGTGTTTTAGTCTTCAGTGGGAGCAGATGGAGGAACACGAGGCTGGAGCTCTGAGAGGTGCTAACACACAGAAAGTGTTTTTTTTTTTTTCACTTTGCTATAAATAACAGTGTGATTTCTCTTTCCTGTAAAGGTTTATCAGCTCACACTCATGTTGAACTTCCCTATTACTCCAAGTTCCTGTTGATTGCTGCCTATCTAGCGTCCTACAACCCTGCCCGCACAGATAAGCGCTTCTTCCTAAAGGTAGAATCCTTTTATCTCTGAGTTTCCTCCTGCGAATGTCCCGCCTGTCTCTGCCTTTTAACTTCACTCTGTGATCTTTGTCTTTTTCTCTCTCCAGCATCACGGGAAAATAAAAAAAACAAACTTCTTGAAGAAGAATGAAAAGGTGCTCCCTTTGGCTTTTTTATTGTCATTATTAATTACAGATGTTTATTTTTAAAGTTATGCTAC